AAAACTGTTTTAAACCTAAGCGAATGTTTAAAACAATTATTGATTAAAACAAAATGTTTAAAACGAAACAACCCTGCTTTTGGATGGCCTCTACGTCGACATACCGCTGTCCCTTCATGGCCAAATATAGTTTACCGAACAGTAAATAGTCTTACGATGTCATACCAGGAGAATATGGGTAGTGGTTGATGGTTAAAATGACATTTTTGTAAAAAATCGGACACAAGCGTCGATCGATGAGATGGTGGATTATCGTGCAACTAGCGCCAGCTTCCTTCCTCGCGATATTCTGGACGAACAATACGCGACCAAACTCCTCATAACACCGAGATTAACTGTTTGGCCCGTTTCTTTGGGAATAATTCCCTTCGAATCGTAGAAACAATTGAACATTGTCTTCACTTTAGACTTTTCCCAGCGGTTTTTTCTTTTGGATTTGGCTCGTTCGGGTGCTTCCATTCGGCACTTTGACTCTTGGCTTTTTTGGCCTCTTTCTCATGCCCAAATTTCAGGCTAAAAATGCGATGGATTGAATCGTTAGAGATATTTAATTCCATTTCTATGTATCTCAACGAAGATTTTGGATCATTTTTGATAAGTTCACTCACTTTTTCTATGGTTTCTGGCGTAAACACAAATGTTGGCTGGCCTACTTCCAGCGACTCCCGACCCTCTTTGAACCGTGTAAACCACTCGTGGACTCAGCTACCAGATAAACTATCACCACTATACACTTGCATCAACATATGATGCGTTTCGGTAAATATTTTACCAAGTTTAACACAACTTAATATTGACTCTTTGTTCGATGATCATTTTTCGACTGATGCTAAAAAGGTACTGTCACTTTGAGCGCGATAACTCCGCGTGACGTGGTTCGATTGGGTTGAAATTTTGACAGGGCATCAATGGAAGATCCAGCGCTAGTCTTCGATAATAGATGGCGCTACTTATATCGGATATCTTTCAAAAGTCATGTGTATTTTGGGACAGACCTGGTATCTGTGGCATCAAAGCTCCTAAACTTACGAACATATTTCAATTTTTGTTAGTTTAGCGCTTATTTAAGAGGGGCCGATAATAAGTATTTTGAATTTTCAAATTATTGTTTTTTCGAAGATCTATGACTGCTTTAATGATGACTCTTACTATAAATAATGTAGTAGTGCATTTGAGAAATTCAATTTATGTATTTCGATTTAGTTATATCATTTCCTGTTAACATCAGATTATTATTTCACAATAGATAGTGCGTGGTTAGCATTATTTGTGAGTGCAGCTATGGTACAATGCATCATCCTGCTGAAGTATATGAATTACTAATAGAGTATATATCGGTTAAATGTAAGCTGTATAAATAAATAATCAGTGGTTTGTTCATAATGGTTGAAATATGTGTCTTTAGACCTTCAATAATACATAATAGGAACTCACCGTGTAAATATATTATCGTATGGATTATTAATACTTGTCCATTTCATAGAAGCTGCTTACAATATGCATTTCATAGGTCGATGCTATAAAATCTGTATGATCTTAGTTACGACCAAATGATTAAATATCAAATATAATTACAGTTTCAACAGTGTACTATAGGACAAAGGTATAATATCATGCAATTATCTATTTGATGACATCAGTTTGTTCGACGACGTAGGGGAAACCTTGGAAAATCGAACACTCCGGGCAGAACTAAGTTTTACATCCAAATTATGAATCGGCCATCGCAAAAAAGCACATAAAAATATTCGTCCTACGTTTTTGAATAATTGGCAATCAGTTGTAGTAGAATTTCACAAGCTTTTTGGTTACTAGACAACATTTGTTTCAGAATAGAATAGTATATAGAATATAATAGAAAGGATTTATTTAGCTTTAAGCTACTTCAAACAATAATAAATATTATTTACAAAAATATGTTAAATTTACAAAGAGGTCGTCACATCAAACCAAGATAGTCTCTCCGAAGTCTCTGTTTGAAAATTTTAGCATTACTATATGTTTTTACATTAATAGGCAGATTGTTGTATATTTTTAGACCTTCAACAAACATTGACTTTTCTAAACCTTTATATCTAAATCTTTGTATATGGAAATTTTCTTTTGATCTAATGTCGTAACCTTGCATTTCATATCTTTTTTTTAGAAACTGTTCAAGATAAGGTGGAGCCTGATTATTGATAATTTTATATAAAATAATTAAATTTGCCTCTTGAATAATTTGGTTTATGTTTAAAAAATTTAATGCCTTTAACATATACTGTATATGGGTATACCTGCTACAATTTAACAAAATCCGCATACATTTATTTAATAGAATTTGCAACCTTTGCTTTTCCTCGTTTGTGCATGTAATCAATAATAAATAAAATGAGGAAAAATTATTGTATTGTAGACTTACCCTTCTGCACCAGGGACTTAGATTCTCACAAATTCTACGACAATACCCGATCTTTTTGCCTAATTTCCGACACATATAGTCAACATGTTTGTTGAAAGTTGGTTGCTGATCTTTTCTTAATAAAAATATTGCTTTGTAAAATAGGTGTTGTGTTTATAATTCCAATTTTATACCAACCATTCGAGCTGAGTTTTAAGGTATGTACCGAACGTTTAAAGCACTTTCTCAGTTATACAAACACAAAGGAATGAACTAATCGCTTTAAAAAACAAGAAAACTAGTAAATAGGTGAATTTGCGTAAAGCAGTGCGTGGGCGAAGATTTAGCAAAAGTAATACCTTATTATGTGTGTTGTTCGTGAATTTAAAATTGATTTTTCTGTGCAAATGGTATATGTAATGTATGACAGGAAAACAAATCGAGGATCCTAGTTGGAAAACCGATTAACTTGTCCATAAGTGCGAACTGGTAAAAACAACCACTCTAATGTATAACAATGAGTGATGCCGTGAAGAATCTTCAGAATTTGGGAGCGTTCATGGTTGTTCTGTTCAATATACCAAATTCGACTCTTGCGATTGGGATCTCGGAAACGTAAGAGATGCGAAGCCACTTAAACGGGGGCAAAGTCGCGCATTCACTAACTAATAAAATGGCACTTTCCGAAGACAGATAACCGAATTTTCTCAAAAACGTTTTTCTTTTTCCCAGGATTTTTTGAGACTGGATTTCAAAATAAAAAAGACATTAACATCGCCATTTTTTCTCTTCTCTATCTCTTGTCTTCAATCATCAGCCGGGGATTTCCCGGACACTTTTTATGCCAGGAGAATCTTGTGAAATGTAAGACGCTCAATTAAAAAAATGTTTGTTTTTTGAATTTAAAATCCCTTAGCTCGAGCCTTTGTCACGGAGATAAGCTGTTCACAACAAACCAACTGTGGCTGATCTATCTTTTTAAAACGAATAATGCCCATTTATGGTATGAACCGCTTAAAATTGCACAGTATTATTTTTGTATACCAGCTCACAACACGAACGTATAGAGCAGAGTTCCCCAAACTTTTTTGTGACGTAGACCCCTTGCCATGTTTTTCCGTGTTGGGTAGGCCCCCTACTTACCTGATATTGATTTCCTGTAAATTTCTAACTGTAGTGAAGTTTAATGTTAAAAACTTAAAGTAAAAACACATGTTAATTTATACATTTATTAATTGAATTTAAATTAAAATTCTCAAAATAAAATTTTGTATCTGTTATGTAAAATATACGTAACATTAAATAAACAGGTGTCTGACCAATAAGTGCCCGCATTGGGAATAAGTGCCCACATTGAAAAAAAATAAGAGGGATAAAATAAAAAAAAGTGAAAAATGATAAAAAAGTTTTTTACTTAAAATAGTACAATAAGCGAGTTCGTTTATTAATTATAACATAAACGTATGCTCTACAATAATTTCACTATTAGTTTGATTAAATTCCGCTTCTTATACGTTTAAGTTATCTAAAAATAGGCAAAAAACTAACGAATTTTAGTGTGTACCTATCCTTGACTTTTCAGAATAATTTAAAAAAAAATATTTTCTATAAAGGGGGGTTCTTTAAAAAAATTAATGCGGTTACTTATTCCCAATGCGGGCATTTATTGGTCAGACACCAATAAACATAAAATAAACTATAAATAAAATAACATAAGCAGTAAGTCAATATTTTTAGTGAGAAGGATGAACCTGATGCTTTAATAATAAATTATCAACATTTGGCGTCAATTTTGTAAGGGTTAATCTTAAATCTCCTCGGCTAATGATGTCCAGTCTGTTACTTTTTTTCGTTAGGAGATTGGTAACACCACTAGGTATGACGATGGAAAGGAAATTAAAAATTTCCTCGCTATATTCCATAATACGGGATAAGTAACGGGTATGTTTTGGAGCCAGAATTGCTGATCCGTTTTTAAACTGAACCTTAAATTCTTCGTTTGTACTTAGTTCAGTCAGTTCCTCTTATACAGCGTGGCGCAGAGGAAACTCATGATTTTCACGTAAGCATAACATTTTTTTATGTTTAAGAAAAATGTATTTTAACTACAGCTAAATAAAGTAATAATAGTGCACTTTTAAATTAATTATGGTAAATTATGTCACTCAAGTGACGCAGAGCTGGAGCTTATCGCCTAGTGGACCGTTGAGGACTATCAAGGACCGCTCTTCTCACTATTTCGATATTGGTTGGTGTTCGAACGGTACGGGGAAGGCCAGGTGGCTTCCTCTTCATTACAGATCCAGTAGTTCGAAATGCCTCAACCCATGGGAGTATCGTATTTCGATCTGGAATTGACCATTGGCGTTCAACGTTGAACTGGCGACGAAATAAACGTTGCACTACGGTAACTACAGAATCTATGTTTAACGGAAAAATTGCTCGACGGCAAACACACGATTCTCAGTTGTCCACGGTGCCATGGCTAAAACTGCATTGCCTGTGCTCTCTGCTGGCGGTGAGGCAAGGTCAACCCACTCCTCTTTCCGAAATACTATTCACTAAGAAAACATGCGTTTCCTCTGCGCCACCCTGTATTATGACATTCGTTTCTTCTATGTCACTCGTCCAGTTGTATAGAGAAATGGGTCGTTTGCAAATAATTACATAAGAAGCTTTCAATATCAGAACTCATTTCATCAATACGTCTTTCAACAGTATTGTTGCTTAAGGGAATTCTTTTAATGATATCAGGTGCAGGTTTGTGTAAAACCCTTTTTAAAACCTCTTCAACGGCTGGAAAAATTAACTTCTCTCCGATAATATGCGGTTTTCCGGATTTTGCTATAAGTAACGAGATATTGTAAGACGCCCGCAAACCATCATCATTTCTTTGTGACGTCGAAGCCAACATTCTGTCCATTGTAGGTCTCTTCTGAAATTTATCTTTGAGTGTTTGAAAGTATTTCAAATCTTTCTCTGTTTTATCAGGGTGGCATCTTCTCAGATGATCTTGCAGTTTAGATGGTTTCATAGCGTCATTGCCCAAAACTTTGTTGCATAAAAGGCACATAGGCGATTGTTTGTCCGGCAATGATGGAATGAAGCCAAATTTCAAATAATCAACACTGTACTGTCTACATTTCTTTTTAGATTCGGACATGGCATGAGTCATCTGTGGGCAAAATTAAATTATTTAAATAAGACAGAAAATCCAGCAGCTGTAAATTAAAAATATTTTTTGATTTTTCCGAAAACATCCCATAATTCGAACATCTTCTTGCAACAATTAGCTCGAATTACGGAGATTGCACTGTAATTATATTACCGATTGCTAAAACTTTCAAAAAGAAACTATTGAGGAGTACTCGTGTAATTTTGCATGATTGAATATTTAACTACTAATAACTAAAGTCATGATTGGCGTAATTTATCTATCTTTGCTAACTACGAGTACAAAACTAAAATTTAATAAAAAATAATGTACTTACTTTTCTCCAGCACTCTCAAACAAAATAACACTGACTCACTATAATTTGTGTGATATACTATCTGTTAATATTTTTTAAAATATTTTCTTAGCACTTTCCTTTTCAAGATTCAGGAAACGAATAAACGTATTTGTCCCACATTCGTATTTATAGTGACGAATTGAACAAGTCAGTGCAAGGTAGCGAAGCTCTGAGACTGCGACTCTCAGGTTTTTACAAGTTCAAAATGTATTGCGACCACAAAGCGAATACCAACATCCTACAACTTACACAATTTTATAAACATATATAATAAATTTTTTACTTCATAGGTACTTTTATAAATAATGTATATGTTTTGATATTATAAGATAGTATGATGTAAGTAAATATGTAGGTACTATCAGTGTATGTGTTGAGATCCACTATCGTGGACCCCCATATTCATTTCATGGACCCCCAAATTTTTTTTCGCTGGCGTAGACCCCTTGCAGGTTGTCATAGACCCCTAGGGGTCGATATAGACCACTTTGGGAATCAATGGTATAGAGGGACTTTTCGCTGGTCATGTAGCAACGGTCGACGGATAGAAACTCATTAAATCCACACACGGTTTCTTATGTCATCAAAATTAAGTATAATTCCAAGCACCTGGTTGCTCCGACTTGTATAGGTTTCTGTTGTAAAAGAAATAAATTTTAGCAAAATTTGGATATTCTCCCAAATAACAAAATAAGTAAACATAATTCTTTGAAAACGTATTTTTCCGACGGGTTAAAGTAGTTGGAGCATCGCTGGGTCAAGTGCATCGAACTAAAAGGAGACTATGTTGAGAAATAAAATGACACTTTTCAAAAATTTTCGTTTTTCTTTTGTAGGCTTTCTACTTATCGGACTGCTCTCGCATGTTAGTAATCAGAACGGTGCGTAGCAGATAGTGACGTTACCTTACTTGATACTGTTCGGAAAGATGGAAGAAGCTACGTACGTTGGCCCATCATTCGTTTTCCATTCACTCCCTTCATCACTAATCGTCTCGGGTTATAAAAGTGCTCGCCCAAGAGTGCCTCATTTCTCATACTAGGTATGTAATGTACTATTCAAGGCATCTAAATTTTCCGTGACTCTCAGCTATACGTGCCTTTTATAACTGCAAGTTAGTAGGAAGCGTCTCATTGTTGACCTCAAACTGTACAGATGAAGAGGTGCACTTGTGGTCGCTCGTTCTTACAAGACAACAAAGCGTACCTTTTCCTTCAGAGTAGGCAAGAGCGTTTTCGTTTGCAGGAAACGGAACATAATTAGCGCACCGTGTACATACGAATCTTTATGTCTCTAGGAGAACAATTCACAGCGATTAACGAGGGTGTAAAGTAACAGAATGTGGTGCGGTTTTTGTACGTTCCTAAGAAGGGTTGGAGGGTAACAGGATATACGTAGTCGCCATAAGTTCTGTCCCATGATAATCTCATGATAAAAATGAAACAAGATAAGATATATTTATATGAAAGATATTATTTATTCGACAACATTTTTAGAATTCATAATCAAACAGTTTTATTCAAAATGTCCCCCCTTGGCCTTCACACACTGCTTCAATCTCGCGGGCCACTCATCTATCACTGCACGCACAGCTTCCAAAGGAATAGCTGCCGCTGATCGGATCAAATCCGCTTTCAGGGACTCGATATTACGGTGGGCTTTGGAGCAGGCCAACTGCTCTAGCAGGTCCCACAACTTGTAGTCTAAAGGATTGAGGTCCGGACTCCCTGAGGGCCAATCTTCCGCAGCAATGAACTCTGGCACATTGCTTTCCAGCCAGCGCTGCGTACTCTTAGCCTTGTGAGCGGGGGCGGAATCCTGCTGGTAGACCCAGTGTTGGTTGGCAAACAATGTACCACTTAAAGGCTTGACGATAGGATCCAGTATGTCGCTCTGATAGTTTGCCGCTTTTGTTTTCACGCCCTGTTTACAGAAATGGAGCTGAGTGACCCCTTCGTAGGACACCCCCCACCAAACCATGACTGACGCAGGGTGGTGGCCTCTCTCAACTCTCGGAATGATCTCCGAAGCTTCCTGTGAACTCCTTGCATACACTTTGTCATTTTGTCGGTTGAATTTTTCTTCTATGGTGAAGATTTTCTCATCCGTGAACAAAATCTTTCGGAATCCCCCAGCTGCGTACCTCTCCAAGACCTTCTTGGATCTTGTCGCCCTGATGTGTGGCAAGGTGGCCGTAAGTCGCTGGCCCGTACGTCTCCGGTAAGCCCCTAGCCCTAGGTCTTGTTTAATGATGCGCGACATCGTCCGGACAGGAATCTTCATTTCCCTGGATAGGATCTTCTGCTTCCGGAGTGGATTCCTTTGAATCCTGGCTTTTACGGCTTTGATGGCTGCTGGAGTCCTTACTTGACGAGGTCTTCCGCTTCTTGGCCTGTCATCAACAGAGGACGTCTCATTGTACCGCTGAATGGTCCTAGACACAAATTTACGCGATATTTGAAGGCCGCGTAAGAGTTCAAAAATCTGACTAGCACTGTGATTACACTTATGTAAGGCTATCACTGCAATACGGTTCTCTGCCTTGCCCCACTCCATCGTTATGCTTCGAGAGATCAATACAAACTGAGGTACATGTAATTACCCGAAAAGCGCTTAATCAACTGACACCACAATGTAAACAATCGGACAAGTATTAACAGGTCTACACTTGTTTGAAAACGAGGGACAGAACTTATGGCATGACTACGTATGTGGAAACTCCTATTCTAGGTTTGAACGTGAAAATTTATTCAGTATTTTAATTTGTTATTTGGTGAAGGCTGTTGTCACACACGAGGCTTGTAAATTAAGTGATGAGTATGATTTTTTTTTTAAATTTTCTTATTCAAATATAATTACAATTTTATATTGTCACCGTTAAAATAACTTTTGAAGCCACATAGCGCTGGAGACGGTTATTCCACTCCTCATAGCATAACACAGCACAATAGGAAAAACTGTTTTATAACAGAAAATCTCGGGATAATGAAATGACTCGAGCGAGTTTCAACCTGTACTGTAGGCGGATCACACGTTTGCCTGTCCCCCCTTCAAGCCCGGCGCCTCCAGTGTTGCCGGATCGAACACTATGTTTGCACTTAATTTACAGACCTCGTATAACAGCTGTCATATTGTTGCATACATTCATTTTCCCAAAATATGACGCACACTATCCCAAACTATTTGACTCAGCAAGCTTTTTAATAATTATATTTGCTGAAATATGAATACCGGAACTAATACTAATTAGGCTTCCAAGTATTTACTATGAGATCCATTGGTTAACGTGAAAGATTCTCAGAATCTCAGATTTCGACTAGGGGGCGCGCAAACGATATTTGGTGCTGGTCATTTTTTAACCTCAGTCGAACTTCTAGAATCTATCCTATTATTGCTCCTTAAAGCCATTGTGTCGTATCTGGTCAAGGCCAGCTTGAAAAAAAAAAAGATGGAAATTGCCCAGAAATCTTCAGAAAGCCAATATTTTATTATATGAGAACAAAATAAGTACGTAGCATTTATAATTAACTAGTATAATAATATTAAAGATTCAAACATAAAAAAACTTCATTGCTCTGTTAACCGCCAAAAAAATAAATAAAACAATGTCTTTGATTGCGAAAACGAACATGAGACAAAAAAATTCACATTATCGTATGGACGCTAGACAAGACAAAGAAGGATGTCTGTAGACCATCTATAGATCGTGTCTTGAGACCGTCTCCAGACTGCCTATAGACAAATTGCGCAACGGGGTCTACTAGTATGTAATAAGCTTAAGGATTAAGACTCTGAACTGCCCATTAAACAAATCAAGTAAATGGTACAAATACTGACACACTCAAGCACGTCTGTTATATCAGCATTGATAAAAATATCAACAGATATAGCCATGACAGAAAGTAACACAATGCTGTTAGATTGCAAAAGCAAATTTCAGACGTCTAGGGGGGCGGGCGCCCCCCGTGCCACCACTCTAAATCCGCCAGTGCTCAGAATGAATCTTTTGGGATCTGATCGATAGACTTCTATGAATATTTTGTACCGTACAGCGTTCACATTGAAGGAAAAATATATTTCGTAGACTACTAACAAATAATTAAAAAAATAAAAAAGTAATAAATGTCCAAAAAAGGTAGATTTGAACAAAGAATGCTTAGCTTTCCCTGCAAGTAATGGACAGTTTATTTAATATAGACGTCAAATAGGTTTACTCTGCTCATAAGTTCATAAAGGATCAATTTCAGCGCAATTTAAATCCTCCGAGAAAAAATCGAGTTACGAACATGTGAAACAGAGATATCAAACGGATTCAGTCAGTCAAACAGGCCCATGCAATAAATCCATAGATATTATTTCCCGGCTCTACCGGTAGTTACTGTTCATGTGGCAACGTTGTCCCTTTCCACATCTGCGCGTCATC